GCTGGCCCTCGGAGCCCCCGCGGCCACTTGGGTGGGAAGGAGACAAAGCATGGGCCGGGGCTGCCTCTGTCCCTCTAGCACAGCCGTACGTTTGCTCTCTTCGTCTTGGGGGGAGGAATCCTGCCCCCCAGGCAGTGCGCAGGTTTATGAGGATCCCACTGGCCTTTGCAGGGAGAACCCGTGCAGCGAGAACCATCCCAGTGGTTTTTGGGCATCGTGTGGCATGGTGGTGCGAGCACCTGCCCGCCCGGCAAAGACCCCTGGCCAGCGCAGGGGACGCAGGGCTGGCGGTCCCCGCACGGCTTTCCCAAGGGCCGGAGTGTGGTTTGGGCTGCTGGATCTCCCACGCTCAGCGCAGGGGGAGATCCCTTATACATCATGTCTCAGTCACAGAGACTCCGGTCATTTCCAAATTCAAGTTTTCATTGCACTGTCACGACAGCATAGGCTGGCTTCTGGCTTTACGTACTTCTGAATCTTGTTTTCTTTGGCTAGGGAAAAATACTTTGCTGTGCACGTGATGTAACTCTTAGGTTTACCTGCTAGGGGACAGACAAGACAAGCGTCATGCAGCCTTCCAACAGCAGCAAGCGTAGGAAAAAATACGTATGTTTTCCTCTTCTTTGCCTACTATTTGAGGATTAGGTGGCACTTGATGGATGTGCTGAGTTTTTTGGATGAAAACTTCTCATGTCTCAGGGCTCAGTGCTGAGCACTGTGAGGAGAAGACTGGGTTGCTGTTGTGGGGGGTTTCTCTAAGTGTGTATGTGGATTATATTTGGGGTTGTAAGGTAGGTGTGGTAGTCATACTGAATTTATTAGCTTATTAAACATTAGAGAAACAAGTACATATTGAAATTATTCTGGTCTCTTAAATTGCTAATGTATGCAATTATACTTTGAGGGAGTTATGAATGTCTTCTCACCACCGCTGCGACACACCTTTGTTCGGTGAAAAAGAACTTCATTTCGTGCATGCCTTTGTTTCCTACGCAGGGGCTCAAAGTTCTTTTAGTTGGGGACTTTGTAAGGAAATTTCTCTAACGGTTGCTTTTGTTTTCCTCATGCAGGCAGTGGAGACTGAGGAGCTCGGCTTGCCCAGGCGATGTGAAAGCCAGACAAACCAAGGTGCAGCAGGTGAAGGAGAGGCAGCGAGGTCAGCTGGTGGAGACAGCAGCGTTGCTTTGAGCTACCCCAGCCTCCACCTCCATGCGTACAGCATCGAGAGCATGACAACGTTTCCGAATGGCTGTGGAAATGGCACCACCGTTACTTGTATAGTTATGGATAATAAAGACCCCCAAAACCAGACTACCTGTGTCAGTCATAATGGGGGATACAGCACCAGCAACAGTCATGAGGAAGAAATTCAAGAGGATAAGCTCAGCCCTTCCAAATTCGTGCGCTTTTTCACCACCCCTCGGAAACGGGCTAACTCCAGCTCCGACAGGCCTCGTTCTCTGGTTTTGATGGGCAATTCGTCCACGTGGAATGCTTTGTCTTCCATCAGAAAAATGGGATCTTTCAAGAAGCTGAAATCTTCAGTTCTCCAAGGAATTCAGACAAGGGAATGCTCAGACATCTCAAATGAGAACGGCGTAGGCAAACATGGTTCAAATGGGGCGGTGGTGAGAGTTCAGACTAACAGGTATTCCTATTCGGGGCCTCTACATGATTTCCAGAATGCAGTGGATGGTTTAGCTTCTGACTGCTCTGATGCGGAGGAGAGCGATGAGTCTTTCCTGAGGAACACTCATCGCTCACGCAGCATCAGGCGGGCTTATGGTGCTGGCCGCATAAACTTGCTGGACACGGATAAAGTTCAGAGTCATCACAACTGTACTAGGCCAACATCACCTGTCATTGCAGAGCCAAAGATCTGTGAAATTTTGGTGAAAGACTCTGAAAACAACAGGATCATTTATCGGAGAAGCAAAAGTTCGGATAATTTGAACTTTCTGAAAAAAAGCTCATTCAAACGGAAGTCCACCTCCAACCTCACCGACCTCAAGGTTGCAAATGAAAAACAGATGCCAACAAGGACTGTGAGTGTTACTTCTGCTGACTCAGACAAAACCAGTGGGAACGCTGAGAGGAGATCCAAGCGATGGAAGAGCCCTATCAGGGCAAAGGATTTTGACCGAGTTTTGAAACTTGTCAGTAACGTTACAGATGTTGCATGGAAGAAGGATGGCCCTAAGAGCGCTGCTCCTTCTCCCAGTGAGCAGTCCCAGAGAACAAGGTCAAACAGCAGACTGCACGATGACTACTCCCGCAGGGTTTCCAGCAGCACGGATCATGACAGAAAGAGATGCACCTCCCCGGTATCTAGTCCAGACTCATCCTTGCCCGGAACACCTTGTCTGCAAAGCCCCATAGTTGCTCAGGATAAAGAGGCTGAAATGAATGTAGCTGCTGCTGAAGACAAAAGCCTCAGGACGTCGTCAGGTATCCCAGACTCTGATAGCTTATCGCCCACACTGAATGACATTAGTCCATTTCCCAATGAAGTGTTTTATTTGGACTCGGATGAACCAAAAGCTACCCAGCAGTTTACATATGAAGCTGAAAACCCTCACGTCCCGGTCAGGCCGACTACTCCAAAGCCTCAAAGTCCCACTGCAGAGAAGGTCAAGTGCAATATGAATGTCCAGTGCCCAAACCATCACAGCACGTTGTCGCTGAGCTCATCGGAGAGCGAGGAGAGAGTCGAGGTACCAGGGCTGAAGCTGGGCAGGAATCCTGTTTGCTTCCAGGACTCAGTGCAAACTGTGTACTATGATGATGGAAATGAAGACAGTGGCATAAGCAGCCACTCTCAGCTGAGCCTCAATTTAGCCTCTGGTGCTGAAGATAAAAAGGAAGAGGTAAGAAAGCAAGCAAAATCCTTTAGAAGCTGTATATATATCCATTAGGTTTTGTCTTTATTAATGCAAAACAATGCAAACAATGCAAAATAACCTGAATACTAATGGCTGTTGCAGCCTGTTATTGCTAAAATATGCTGACAGCAATTATTTCCTTTAATATATTCTCTTTGGATGCTAACATGAAATTATTTTTTTCTTTGTGCATTAATATCAAAGAAATTTTTGGCAGCAAAGCTATTCATGTACTTTTTCAAGGCAAGCTTATTGCACCCTGCAGATATACCACCTTGTCGTGTGGTCTTGTCAGATTTTACCAGCCTAAGCAGGGTCTGGCTGTGTTTCCTTGCAAGCTGAAAGGTCTCTAAAGAGTCGGTGTATTTTAAAGTAGTGTTGATTCAGTGTAAAACACTTTGCCTGTGGAAGCCTTGCAGAACATGGTAGCACTTGTAGAGCAGTGTGGCGTGAAAAATACAGTACAGAGGTTTAAGCATTCAGTTGTATCCGATGTCTTCGCTGTGCAATGATGGCCATGCTGAGGGTAAACTATCTGGGTATTTATTTGCCTGCAAATTTCAAACAGCAGTACTTTACACATTGGGCTGAGTGTGTCACTACTAACATTTTGGTGAAGATACCAGAGTTTCACTGCACCTAATGCATGATTTCGTATTCCCAGTAGATGGGTAGATGTGCGGCAGCACCTCTGAGGTAAGTTCACGTAATAACTCTGTGCCCTTTCCTAAAGTGCTGTATGAGTTGTCACTGGAGCAGTTGCAATGATTTGGCAGCAGTGGTGAATAGCTGCCGTACGTATTCTGTATTCTGCACCCGTTTGAGATGGTGTGGCTCACCTCAGCTCAGGCAATGTACAGTAATGTGGTTTTGAGCTACTCAGGGTGAGGCAGCAGAGAAGCGTTTGCTACTCATTGGGAAAAATACACCGGGCCAAAAATCCCTCTGGATCTCTATGAATATGGAAACAATTTACAAAATAAAGCTGACATATCTTTTAAGCTGCCTCAGTTTGACTAGAAGTATCTTATACCTTAGGTAGGAGATAGACAAAGGCAATTGTTGCAGCTGCACAAACTTCAGCCTTTCATGCTGTAAAGTCTTATAATGTCTATAAAGCTGTCTTACTTTTAAAAGCCTGGCATGGTTTTTGCAAACTAACTGTAAATGGTTACAGAGCTTATCAATGTTGTCCTTCTGCTGGAAAAAAGCGAGTTTGTTTACTGTAGTGCTTGCAGCTACCATAAGATTGGAAAAATAAACCCAATATGTATAAATGTTGGGGTTATGAGGTTATTCCTCTGCTAGAGTCCCAGAGTTGCCAAGCCATCCACCTTTTCCGAAACTCTCACTTAAGAGTCTATGCAAGAGATGCTTTCACACTGCCAGAAGAGGTGACAGCCCTAGTGTGGATGTGTGTCAGTTTTATTTCTCGGGAGTAAAAGGGAAGTAGAATTAATGCTACTCATCTACCATCTAGTGGTGATCTGTGATCACGACCCAAGAGAAATTCATGCTTGTCCCTCCCCTTGGCTCCTGACAAACCAGTACAGTCTTTAAATGAATGTGTTCATTGGGTGGATAAAAGTTCCTGCAGTTTTAGTTTTAACACCACATTCTGTTATTACCTAGCATGCAATTTAAACTTTATATTATAACATATTTTAGGTTAATTGTGAGTGCCTTTTAGCACTCGCTTCAGTTCTCTAAAAGACGGAGTGTGCACTGGTGGCGGCTGTGGGTTTGTGTGGTGGGCAGGCGGCTGGTGTGGGATGGAGCCCTGCAGGAGATGAAGGAAGCGGTGGCCAGGGCATGGGGACTCCCTGGCTGCTAGGGCAGCAGCGAGGGACTGTAGCCTCCTCCCTCTGCTGTAAGCACTGCCGGCAGCCCTCTGTGTATGGCAAAACAACGGCGGCCAGCCAAGTGGTGCAGCTGCATTCAGACCTCTCTTTGGATCCAAAAAAGCGAAGTTTTTGGAGGTGGTAGCTGTGGATTGGAAGCAGGAGCTGTGCAGGACAGGGTTTGCTTCTGTCTTGCTACACAAGGGGTGTAAACTCTGTCCTGTCTTTTTTCCACGCCTGCTCGTCATGCCATACACAACCCTAAAGCCGTGGCACTCGGAGTGACTACAGAACAGGGAAAGTGGTACGGTTTCTCCCTGCCATTTCTTTGGAGGGTTTCGTTGCTCATTTCCTTCTCCTTTACAGCATGCTTCCCTCAGCGTGGAGGTAGCTTGGTACCAAAGATACTTATGCCAGGTTATTTTTTAATTGGAGTTTATTTAGCCCGCAGGCACTTTTATGAATGCCACATACTCACACAATGAGGTCATTGGGGTTTGAACTTTCGACTTGCAATTCATTTTTTAACTCTACCTTACACCTCCGTGTTACAGAACTGTACCCACCCAGCAAGCTCCTGTGACAGTCAAGTGCTCGGTTCATTCTCAACAATCGTTTGAGATGTAATGCTGAGCCATGCAAATCACAATTTTTTAAGACTTTGTCTGAACCTTAAATAGGCTGCATTGACGGACAAATTTGCACTGTTTCCATGTTTCATGCATCTTCTTTTCTATATGGATTTCATGTAAAAGCCAGTATGTATTCCAGTACAGCCACTAAAATCTCTGTGGCTTGGAGACATATTTCAGTACAAAGCTTACAAGGTGCTAAGAGGTCAGGCTCAAATGTGTAGTTTATTCTGTTACCACTCATCTAGTAGATTAGTTGGCACATAAAGTCTGTGGAACTTGATCCATCTCTATATTTTCTCAAATGTGGAAACTAAACGTTCCTACCTTGCGTTTTGCCGACGCTGTAAAGCTGATTTTGCAGTATTCACACAAGGGCATCTATCCATTTACCTGAATTGATGTTTTGTTTTGGTTTTTTTTTTCCTATGTGATTCAGTCTTGAGATCCTGTCACTTGTGTCACTTTGTTGTTTCACCAAAGTGCAAGATTTGGACTGGAGCAGGGGAGATGTTTGGCCTTCTTGGCTGTTGGTCCTGCCAGAGGTTGCTTCCCAGGGAAGAGCTAATTAAGTGCAGTCTGGATCCATGCCTCAGCACTTATTAAGCTACAGAGGCGTGAGTCACCAAAGCTCATCTGTGACAGCCCATGCTTTCCCAGTCTCTGCTTTTTGCCACTGTCACTTATATTCAATATGTTGCTTTTAAATAGTGAGATGATTAAGTACAAGTTTTAATTTGAACTGTTTTGCATAGTCTTTACTTTCCTGAAGAGCCCCATGTCACTGCAAATAGCAAAAATTTAAACCCTTTGCTTTGGACTGACATGTGTCGGCCACTAAGGCTGCCTAAACAGAACGCTGTTCTGAATTTGTTACAGAAAAGACAAATCAAGTTATTTGACATTTCACCTAGTCTTTCACCTAGTCACACCTGCTGTTTAAGTTCCTTTGCTGGCATCTGGCTTCACAGCACACCAGACTTTTTATTACTTAAATACCTTATCTGCATGATTATAAGTGGATGATAAATCATAGTGTCTTCACTATGTAGTGAAGGTAACTTTGCTGTAATTAGGGTTAAGTCACATTTTTTTTGCAGACTATATTTTAAGTGCTCTAAGACCTGTCTGTTTGTGCCATGCGAAGGTCAGTGGTCCCAGCTAATCCACATCGTGCAGTCCCCCAGCGCTCAGCTGTTGGCTGGTCTGTCCCATACAGGTCTCTGGGTTCTGAATGTTGAGCACAGATGGCTTAACTTGGGGGACAGCTTAGGAGGGAGAAGAGGAAGAAGAGCTGTGTGGGTGGGAATACAGAGAGGATTCAGCTCTGTCCTCACAGTTCATCCTCCTGATTTCTTGCTTCAAAACGTGTCCTCACAGTCAAGGACCAAAGGGTGGTAGCTGGATGTGGTCATGTTCAACACCCGCAAGGAGCACGCAGCAGCCAGGAGCTGAGGATGGGCATCCTTGGTACCTACCGCAAGCTCCCGAGTGCTGCGGGGCTGGTCATGAGCACACCTGCTGGGAGATAGCTGGTTTCAGCTCTCTGAACTCTTTTTGGATTTATTCACCTCTGGTTCATCCATATGCAATTTAGAGTGTGGCTTAGTCAGCTTAATCTGTATAACTGAAAATGTGCTAAACTGTGAAGGATGATTAGATAAAGTAAATAAAGGTGGGAACTTCTTAAAGTAGGTTTGCTCCTATGGGGCGTGTAATTTGGAGTGAAGACCCAGACTCCAGTGGCAGTCTGGTCTTGCTGGCCACAGGGCCTAGGGACAGAGCAGCAGAGCACTGTAATGGGCTCTCAGCAGCATCTCTGATGGAAAACTGAGGTTTCAGTTAGACCGAGTGAGGTTAGATTTGTGCTAAACTCTCTGAGCACAAGTCAGGGTATGTTCACACAATGTCTCCACCCTTCACAGCTGCTCAAAAAGCGACTTCCAAGAGCGCTTGCCGAGAGCTAAACCAGAAACCACTGTGCATTGCTACAAACCCAAACTGCAGAACCGGTCGCTGAAATGATGCAGAAGGGAGCCCTCAAAGGACACGTGTGTCTTCCTGTCGCAGCAAAACTCTTCCAACTTGCTGCAGCAGAGTGGTCTGCCATTCAGTACAGCCTGTAATCATTTGTTGCTGTGTCCTGTACTAGGAAGAAGAAAAACAAGAAGTGGTGACAGTAATCTGAATTCTGGATCAGGTTAAATTTTAGACCAAGTAACTGCAGTGCTGAATAAAACTGGCCATTCCTGAAAACTGGTAGAGTAATCCAGGAGTTATTGTCATTCCTGCAAAGGGGTCTGTGGGTGCTGAAAGGGGGAGTTAAACCGACTCCACTGCAGTTAGGCTGGGCCAAGCTGTTCCCTTTCCGTATTGCATACGTGCTCCTCTGCCTTTCCAGAGTGTCTGATATTTGAGTCTGCTGTAGCTCTCCTCTGACACCTCAGTAATACCCAGGCACTGCTCACCCTGGGATCAGGATAATAGTACCCCAGAGAGTGGAACGGCACTT